TGTATTTTTAAAAAATATCAGTCAGTACCTTGATTTCAATGTGGTGAAACCTTGAACAGGGAACCCAACTGATCCTGACTCAAAAAACTGTAAGACAGTAAACTTGAATTGTTTTATGCTACTAAATTTGTGGTAATTTATGATACACCAATAGATGAATGCAATGGGAAAAAAAAATCAGCGATGGAATGGAAACTTTTAAACACACACACACACACACACACACACACACACACACACAACTGTCTCCTTCACCACAGGTAATCTGAGAAGGACTGGTCTAGATAACCGTCAAATTCAAATTATCAGCCCTAGAGTGATCAGCAGTAATTTAAACTTTGCACCTGGAAAATAAGGTCCATATGAAACTATTTTGCTGTCTTTCTTAGTCAAGAGGAGTAAAGGTGGGTTTCTCACACTGCTCTTGATTTGCAGAAAGATTTCTGCAGTCAGAGGGTTTTTTTGTTTTTTTAAAAATTTATTTTATTTTATTTTATTTATTTTTATTTTTGGCTTTGTTGGGTCTTCGTTGCTGCACGCCGGCTTTCTCTACTTGCGGCCAGCAGGGGCTACTCTTCGTTGCAGCGCTCTGGCTTCTCATTGTGATGGCTTCTCTTGCTGTGGAGCACGAGCTCTAGGCGCGTGGGCTTCAGTAGTTGTGGCACGCAGGCTCAGTAGTTGTGGCACACGGGCTTAGTTGCTCTGCGGCATGTGGGATCTTCCCGGACCAGGGCTCGAACCCGTGTCTCCTTCATTGGCCACCAGGAAAGCCCCAGTTATTTTTATAAAGGATAACTACAATCTAGCTAAGGAAAAATTTGTTCTTAGAAAATATCCAGTATTTTTAGTTAAAAGTGTAAAATTGTTTTAATTTGGCTTTTTAAGGTTACCAAAAAGGTATGTTTAACTTTTGAATCTATTAATCTCACCATCTTATCCTTTTATTGATATTTATGTTATTTCTTAAGTGATCTCATTCAGCAGTCTGGAATAACCTGATATGTATTGGCTATCCCATGCTGTACCACAGCTATTCAGAAAGCCGTTAACGAAGTGCAGTCAATTTTAAGCTTTATTTATGTAGTAATAGATATCGAGGACTGGATCTTATACTGATAACGCATTGAGAATTATAACTTTGCTTGAAACACCATCACATATGGGAAAACATCTCTAATTCGGATAAGCAGAAAAACTGCATTTACTAAATTACTGCAAAATTAAAGTATAAAATACTAATTGTTTCTGTCAAAGATATAAATGGAGCATTTCATTTTTTCAGCCTTTTTCTACCAGACCCTGGGTAGGGACCTGAATATAGTAGATAGCAATGTTTTCTGCTTTCGTGGAGTTTACTTTTTTGAGGAAGACAGATGGTAAATGAACAGGAGAAAATGTTATCCTCCACAGTAGTAAAAGAACTCCTAACTAGAACACTGAAATGCTACTTTCTATATGAAAGGAGAAACTTTTAAAAATAAGTATTATCTGTGAAATTATATTTGGGAATAACTGCTAACATTTTAAATTTGTAAAACCGTCTTAGAAAGCAATTTACTTTTTAACATAGTTCTACTTACAGGAATTTAAGGGAATAATGTAAATTGTGAAAGGCAGTATGCTTAAGGATATTTATTATTCAATTATTTATATTAGGCAAAATTAGAAGTGGTTTATCAAAAAAATAGGGGAATAATTAAATGATGGAAGATCTACTAGACGGAACATTTTTCACCCATTTAAAAATAATAATGAAGAGTAAGTAGCCGCATGGAAAAATGAATGATGCACTATCAAATGGAATAAAAACATTTAATTATGATTAAAACTGTAAAATGACAAAAATCCTTTTATCCTGGGTAAAATGAAATATGTTCCTTTTTTTCCCTAAGGGAAAAACAAAGACTGAAGAAAATACATAAAACTGTTAGTGGTGTGGGATTTTTAGTGATCCCTCTCTCCTCCCCTTCTTGCTACTAGAATTATCTACATTGTAACTGGTCTTATAAGGTCCCTTCTAAAATATAGGTTTGACCATGTCATTTCTTTGCTTATAGCTCTCCTACCCCAACACATATAACATTGACTATCAAGTATATTTAAAATTGATTAGCTTGACTTTCAAGACTGTTCAGACCTTTTTTTCCCAAACTCCTGTCCTGCCTACACCCCTACAAATTTCTGGTCTTCGGTGTCTTTGCTTATGCTATTTTCTCTGCCTAGAATGCCCTTTGTTTTCCATTGTCTACCTTATGTAAGTCTATTCTTCCTTAGGCGCCACACTCAAATGTCATACCTTCTTAAAGACTTTCCTCCCTATCTCTTTTTCTTACAAATTAATCTCTTTTGTCTATGTTTTAGGTCCTCCCAATATATTCCTTATAACATTGTATTATAATAGATATATTTTTTTCAGTGCGGAAACTACATATAGTATTTCCCGTGATTGTTTGGCACATAATGGACACTCAGTAAGTGAAGAGAAATTGGTTAACTGCTAACACTTTTCATTTGTTACAGGGCCATTTATGCAATGAACCTTTGGATATGTACAGTTATTTACATAACCAAGGAATTGGCATTTCACTTGCTCAATTCTATATCTCATGGGCTGAAGAATATGAAGCTAGAGAAAACTTTAAGAAAGCAGATGTGATATTTCAGGAAGGGATTCAACAGAAGGCTGAACCACTGGAAAGACTGCAGTCCCAGCACCGGTAAACTGCTTCTCTGGAGCTTGTCTTAACTCGTTAAAACTAGTAACAGTCGTTTTGCATCTGAATAAAGTGCTCTCTATGGATTGGCAAGTTAACTTCATTACTATTCAGTTTTTTAAAAGACATATTTAAATATTTTCCATTTAACATTCTGTAAAATGTACTCTTTGGTGTACAGTTCTATACATTTTCACAAGTGAGTAGAGACATGTAACCATTACCATAATCAAGATATAGAATAATTTCATCACTCCATAGAATTCCCTCACGTTATCCCTTTGTTGTCAACACCTACTCACAATCCCAACCTCTAGCAACCACTGATGTGTTCTCCAGCCCTATAGTTTTGCCTTTTCCATAATGCCATATAAATGGAATCATACAGTATATAGTCTTGATTCTGGCTGCTTTCATTTAGCACAATGCATTTGAGTTGCAAGAGTTCTTTATATATTCTGAATACAAGCCTTTTGTCAGATGAGTGATTTGTAAGTCTTTTCTCCTAGCTTAAGTCTGGGAGTGTTTTTTATAGACCAAGGTTTTTAATTTTGAAGAAGTTTAACTTACAATTATTTCTTGTATGGATCGTGCTTTTGGTATATCTAAGAATTCCATCTAGCTGAAGGTCACAGAGGTCACTCCTATGTTTTTATCCTGAAGTTTTATAGTTTACTTTTTACATTTAAATCTGTGATCCATTTTGAGGTTTTTTTTTGTTTTTTTTTTTGCGGTACGCGGGCCTCTCACTGGTGTGGCCTCTACCGTCGCGGAGCACAGGCTCCGGACGCGCAGGCTCAGCGGCCATGGCTCACGGGCCCAGCCGCTCCACGGCATGTGGGATCTTCCCAGACCGGGGCACGAACCCGCGTCCCCTGCATCGGCAGGCGGACTCTCAACCACGGCGCCACCAGGGAAGCCCTGAGTTAATTTTTGTAGAAGGTATCAAGGCTGTTTTTTTGTTTTTTTGTTTTTTTTATTTTGCATATAAGCCTCCATTTATTCCTGTGCCACTTGTTGAAAAGACTTTCTCCATTGAATTACCTTTGCATCTTTGTCAAAAAGCAAGTGATCGTATTTGTATGGGTTTATCTCTGTTACTCTGTTTTGTTCTGTTGATCTCTGTATCTATCATTGGTATATATCACACTATCTGGATTGCTGGAGTTTTATAGTAAGTCTGGAAATCAGGTAATATGAGTCTTCTAACTGTTCTTTTTAAGTCTTCTAGTTCCTTTGACTCTGTGTATAAATTCTAGAATCAGCTTCCTGGGATTTTGATGAATATTGTGCATGAACAAGGTATATTTCTCCATTTATTTACATCTTTGATTTCTCTTAGTGGGCTTTGGTAGTTTTTGTCTTTCAAGGAATTGGTCCATTTCATCCAAGTGATGAGTTTATGGACATAGAATTGTTCATAGTATTCCTTTATTATCCTTTTAATGTCTGTAGGTTATGTAGTAACCCCCCTTCTTTCTTTTTTCATATTGATAATCCTGATATTGGTCTTCTCTTTTTCCTCTGTCAGTCTGGGTAGAAGTTTATTGATTTCTCTTGATCTTTTTAGGGAATCAGCTTTTGGTTCCATTGATTTTTCTCTTAATTGATATTCTGCTCTTAATTTTATTAATTTCTGCTCTTTATTATTTCCTTCTCTGTGCTTGCTTTGGGTTTAACTTGCCCTTCTTTTTCTAATTTAAGGTGACACTTACAGCACTGATTTCTAGAATTTTCTTTTCTAATATAAAAAATGTCTGTCTAAGCACTGCTTTAGCCGTATCCCACAAATTTTGATATAATATTATGTTTTCATTTTCATTCAGTTCAAAATATTTTTTAATTTTCTTTATGTCTTCCTTTTGATCCATGGGTTATATAGAAGTGTATTGTTTAATTAGGACATGTTCGGAGATTTTTCAGATATCTCCCTGTTACTGATTTCTAGTTTAATTCCGTTATGATCAGAGAACATAATTCGTATGATTTCAGTTCTTTTGAATTTGTTAAGCTTCATTTTATGGCCCAGAATATGGTCTATCATGGTGAATGTTTTGTGTATACCTGAAAAATATGTCTTCTCTGCTGTTTTGGAGTAAAATGTTCTGTAAATGTCATTTAGGTTAAGTTGATTGGTAATCTGTTCTAGTCTTCTGTATCCTTGCTGATTTTCTGTCTACTTGCTCTATCAGTTACTGAGAGAGGAATTTCGAAGTTTCTTTTATTGTGTTTTGTTTGTTTGGTTGTTTGTTCGTTTTTCTTGCCGCGTGGCTTGTGAGATCTTAGTTCCCCGACCAGGGATTGAACCTGGGCCCTCACCAATGAGAGTGCAGAATCCTAACCACTGGACTACCAGGGAATTCCCTCTTTTATTGTGAATTTATGTTTCTTCTTTGAGCTCATATCAGTCTTGCTACATATATTTTGAAGTTCTGTTGTTAGGTTTATACACATTTAGAATTGATCCCTTTATCATTATATAATGTTCATCTTTATCCTTGATCATACTCGTTCTGAAGTCAGCTTAATCTGATATTGATATAGGCAGTCCAACTTTCTTTAGTTTGCACGGTACATCTTTTTCCTTTCTTTACTTTTTTTTTTTTTAACAGTTTTAGAGTTGTGCAGCCATTGCCACAATCTAATTTTACAACATTTTTAACACACCAAAATGAATTCCATACTTATTAGCAGTCACTCCCCATTCCCACTCACCCCAGTTCCAGGCAACCACTAATCTGCTTTCTCTCTCTGCATTTGCCTCTTCTGGACATTGCACGTAAATGGAATCCTACATTATGTGGTCTTTTGTGACTGGCTTCTTTCACTTAGCATGTTTTCAGGGTTCATCATAGATGAACATAGTTGTGGCATATATCAGTATTTCATTCCTTTTTATTGCTGAATAATATGTCATTCTATGGACATACCACATTTTGTTTATCCATTCTTCAGTTATTGGGCATTTAGGTTTTTATTTTTTGGCAATTATGAAATAATGCTGCTATAAACATTCACATTACAGGTTTTTGTGTGAATTCCCTTTTACTTTTTTCTTTTTAACAAAGGGAGTTCTTTTTTTTGTTGAAGTATAGTTGATGTACAGTATTATAAAAGTTACAGGCATACAATATAGTGATTCACAATTTTTAAAGGTTATATACTCCATTTATAGTTATTATAAAATATTGGCTGTATTCCCTGTGTTGTATAATATGTCCTTGTAGGTTATTTTATACCTAATAGTTTGTACCTTCCAATTCCCTACCCCTATGTTGCCCCTCCCCCTTCCCTCTCCTCACTGGTAACCAATAGTTCTCTATATCTGTGAGTCTGTTTCTTTTTTATTTTATTCACTAGTTTGTTGTATTTCTTAGATGCCACATATAAGTGATATCATACAGTATTTATCTCTGTCTCTGACTTATTTCACTTTGCATAATCCCCTCCAAGTTCATCCATGTTGTTGCAAATGACAAGATTTCGTTCTTTTTTATGACTGAGTAGTATTCCACTGTATATGTATACCACATCTTGTTTATCCATTCATCTGTTGGTGGACACTTAGGTTGCTTCCGTATCTTGGCAATTGAAAATAACACTATTCTGAACACTGGAGTGCATTTATCTTTGCAAATTAGTGTTTTTGTTTTTTTTGGATATATACCCAGGAGTGGAATTGCTGGGTCATATGGTAGTTCTGTTTTTAGTTTTTTTTTTTTTTTTTTTTGCGGTACATGGGCCTCTCACTGTTGTGGCCTCTCCCATTGTGGAGCACGGGCTCCGGACGCACAGGCTCAGCGGCCATGGCTCACGGGCTCAGCCACTCTGCGGCATGTGGGATCCTCCCAGACCGGGGCACGAACTCGTGTCCCCTGCATGGGCAGGCAGACTCTCAACCACTGCGCCACCAGGGAAGCCCTGTTTTTAGTTTTTTGAGAAACCTCCATACTCTTTTCCATAATGGCTGCAGCAATTTACATTCCTACAATAGTGTACAAGGGTTCCCTTTTCTCCACATCCTTGCCAACATTTGTGATTTGTGTTCTTTTTGATGATAGCCATTCTGACAGGTGTGAGGTGATACCTCATTGTGGTTTTGGTTTTCATTTCCCTGATGATTAGTGATGTTAAGCATCTTTTCATGTGCCTTCTGGCCATCTGCATTTCCTCTTTGGAAAAAAGCCTTTTAAGGTCTTCTGCCCATTTTTTAATCAGGTTGCTCCTTTTGCTTTTAACCTGTCAGTGTCTTTATATTTAAAGTGGTTCTTACACGCTAAAGAGTTGGGTGTTGTGTTTTTCTCAGTTCCTGCAGTATCTTTTATGTGGTATACTTAGAACATTTTAATGGAATTATCGATTTTGGGGGATTTAGATCTGTTATTATTTGTTTTCAGTTCTCTGTCTTTTGTTCGTCTGTTGCCCCTTTCCTGTCTTCTTTTGGATTATTTGAATTTTTTTTTCATTTAAATTTATTTTATTGGCTTTTTGTCTGTTACTTTTTTAGTGGTTGCTCTAGGGTATATTATACATATATCTAACCTTTCACAGTCTCCTTAGAGTTAATATTTTACCACTTCAAGTAAAATATAAAAGCTTTATAACCATATAGGTTCTTTATCTTCCTGACTTTTTTGATATACTGGTTGTATGTATTATATTTACATACATTGAAAACCCCATCCGGGACTTCCATGGTGGCACAGTGGTTAAGAATCTGCCTGCCAATGCAGGGGACATGGGTTCGATCCCTGGTCCACGAAGGTCCCACATGCCCCAGAGCAGCTAAGCCCATGAGCCACAGCTGCTGAGCCTGCTCTGTAGAGCCTGCGCTCTAGAGCCCGTGAGCCGCAACTACTGAGCCCACGTGCCACAGCTGCTGAAGCCCGCGCACCTAGAGCCTGTGCTCCACAGCAAGAGAAGCCACCGCAATGAGAAGCCTGCACACCGCAAGAAAGAGTAGTCCCCGCTCGCTGCAAGTAGAGAAAGCCCATGCGTAGCAACAAAGACCCAACACAGCCAAAAATAAATAAATAAAATAAATTTTTTTTAAAAAGAAGAAAACCCCATCAGACAACGTTATAATTTTTGCTTTCATCAGCCATACATATTTTAAAGAACTTAAGAGAAAAATAATCTTTTATATTTACCATTTTTGTTCTTTCTTTATTCCTGAAATTCCAAGTTCTCCTCTGGTATCATTTCCTTTCAGCCCAGTGAGGGGTTTTTTAGCCATTCATTTAGAGTGAGTCTTTCGCCTAAAAATTATCTTAGTTTTGTTTTCATCTGAGAATGTCTTTATTCATCTTCATTCCTGAAGGATATTTTCACTGGATGTAGAATTCTGGGTAACAGTTCTTTTAACATGTTTCTGTCTTCTGGACTCCATGACTTCTGATGGGAAACCTGTAGTCATTTGAATGGTTCTTCCCCATTTTTTGTAGTGTGTTGATTTTCTCTGGGTATGTTTAAGGTTTTTTTCTTTAACATTGCTTTTCAGCAGTTTGATCTTGATGTGTCTAGGTGTGATTACCTTTATGTTTAATCCATTTGGGGATTACTGCACTTTTTGAATTTGTAAATGCATGCCTTTCACAAAATTTGAAAAGTTTTCAGCCATTATTTTAAAAATATGTGTCTGGGGCTTCCCTGGTGGCGCAGTGGTTGAGAGTCCGCCTGCCAATGCAGGGGACACAGGTTTGTGCCCTGGTCCGGGAGGATCCCACATGCCGCGGAGCGGCTGGGCCCGTGAGCCATGGCCGCTGAGCCTGCACGTCCATAGCCTGTGCTCCGCAATCGGAGAGGTCACAACAGTGAGAGGCCCGTGTACCACAAAAAAAAACAAAAGCAAAACGTGTCTATACCTTTTCTTCTGGGACTTCAGTTACACATATGTTAGACTTTCTGATATTGTCCCACAGGTCCCTGAAGCTCTGTTCATTAAAAAAAAAAAAATTTAACCTTTATTCTTTCTGTTCTTTAGGGTGGCCAATTTTTATTTATTTGTTTTCAGGTTCATTTACTCTTTTCTCAGTCTTCTCCATTCTGATAATGAGTATATCCAGTAAATTTTTTATTTCAGATACTGTGTTTTTCAGGTCTAAAATTTCCATTTGATTCTTTTTCATACTTTCTGTGTGTCTGCTGAGAACTATCTTTCCACTCATTTCAAATGTTTTTACCTTTATCTTATGGAGCATCACTATAATACCTGCTTTAAAATCTCTGTCTGAAAACTCTAACACCTGGGTCATTTGATGTTTATATCTGTTGATTCTTTTTCCTTTGAGAATCGGTCACATTTTCCCAGTTCTTCATGTGTGACATAATTTTGGATGATATCCTGGACATTTATCCTGAATTATTTGATCCTAGGTCCTGTTGGTTGATGTTCTCTGGAGAATGTTGATGTTTTTGTCTTATTAGGTAACTAACCTTCAGATATCATAATTTCTTTTTCATCTTATGTGGGTATTGGTTCCAGTGTCAGTTCAATTTTCCAAAGACCTTTGGGTCTATCGCATGTGTCTGTTGCTCTGGGGTTAGTCTAGGACTTGGGCAGTGGTTTATACTATAGTTCAATTCTCAAAGCCTTTTCTCTGCTGCTTTGGGTCTGCCCTGTGTATGCATAGCTCAGGGGTGAGTCTAGAGCTTGTGCCAATTTATGTATAGAATTAGGAGATCCCTTTCTTCAGCTCATCCTCTCCAATGTTTCTCCCATACTCATTGGCCCTCAGAGTCCTGTTTTCCCAGTCCTCTGGCCAGAAAGATGAGGTTTCTCTAGGAGTTTTAGCTTCCCACACCACCAGTGTAACAATTCAAAGTGAGGAAAAGAGATGAAGGGGAAAAAAAAAACAAACCAGGAAGCAGCCCTGTGTGGGTTGTTTCTTCAAGTTTGACTCCTCTCCACAGTCCACTTGCTTTTGTTTACGTTTCAGAGACCTCAGTTGCTTTTTTGTATTTTGTCTAGAGTTTTTAATTCTAATCAGTGAGAGAGAGAGAAGCTATCATGAGCTTGTTCCATCTTGGCCAGCGTTCGCAGTTTATTCAGTTTTTTTACCCTTTTGATAATGCTTGAAACTTGGACAGCAGCACAGGAAGTTTAGACTTCAAACTTCTGCCAGCTTTACTAAAGTAAAATGTCCCGTTGGATGCAACTTCATTTCATCTGATTCAGGAAAAATGGTGGGGTAGGGGGTAGGGTGGGGATTCTATGTAGAGAGAGAAAGACATGCAGCGATAAAAATAGACGTGGCAAGATTTTAACAATTAGTGAATCTAGGTAAAGGGTATATGGGTGCTCATTTACTCTTTCAACTATTTCGTGAGTTTAAAAAGTTGGTGGGAAAGTCTCATCTT